TTTTTGTTTTATTTTAGGCCTTCTTCAAAATACCTATGCCACAGCAGTTGATTTTTTGCCGTAAAACCAAAATAGTTTCATGCATGCCGACTTGCCGATCGGTTAGCGTGAGCCCCGACTGAACTCTGCAGAAAATCCACATCGAACTTCGCATCGCGATGTAAAACAAAATGTCGGAAAACTTTTCTTTGACGCATGCGCATTTGCATAAATGTCTACGCACACACATACTACACACAATAAAAAACAAAAGAAATGTGACAGAGTGATTACAATAGTTCCTATTGCATTACATGCATAGGAACTAAAAATCGAAGCTGCAATACAATTGGCTCTCCCTCTGACCCCAAATGGTTAATTTTTTCACATCCTGTACCCCCTCCCAACCCTAAATAGCCCAACATTGAAGAAAAGAGTTTTTTTAATGCTTCTGAAAAGTGGAAAGTGAGATGCCTCCGACTGCTGGTCCCATGGTCACACACTTTCCTAGCACTAGACAATACTACCGTAAAATAGGCTTTAGAATCTCACCTTTGAACAGGTGACCATCATTCCGTTGCTAAATCTAAGATGAAGCACTGCTTCGCAGTGATGGATTAAGGTGTTCATCATCTCGCCTGTCTCGACGTCCCATACCCTGCAATGCAACAACAAATAAGTTAATATGCTGCCCTCACAGAACAATGCGAGGTCTCACCACAAAATGTGTGCATTGTTGGTGAGATCACATTGTCTACAAAATAGTAAAAACTTTATAAAATTCAGAAGTTTAATTTTTAAATTTTCTTAATATAAAAGTGTTCTCTGTGCATATTTCTACTAGTCTTTGGAGAGGTTACAGTAGTTAAACTTTGAGGTTGATTTCCTCAAAACCAGGTTTTTATATACCGTATTTATTTGAATAAATGCCCTCTGTGATTAAATGCCACCTCCCCCCTCCCCACCCAGCAGAATTACATTTCTTTCTAACCTGGTTGGGATCAATTAGTCTTTATGAACACGCAGCAACACCTTCAGTATACAGTATACGTTTTCGTTTACACTAAAAAAAAAATAAATACCTCCCTCGAATAAATGCCTCCATCCAAGAAAAGCCCTTTTCAACAATAAAAGCCTGGGGGAATTTATTCGAATAAATATGGTATCTAAATTTCAAATGCTCATTCTACGATCTACTTATTCTAGGAACATCATTCAAAGACCAATTTTAAACATATAATGCTGATTTGAACCCATGACCCTGGATTTAGAGTGAATTTCTGCATTCTTCTTACTCCTGTCAGTTTAAACCAATAACATCTAACTAATACAACTTCTTTTAAACATCATTTTTTTTTGTAATTCATGTAAAAGTAAATTAATTGAACATGTCAGGTAACATGATCAGTTCCGGAGATAAAACAAATTCAAAAGCTTTTAATCATGATCACGTGGCTGTCTGGAGATAATAATTTGAGACTTAGTAAAATACTAAACAAAGCTTAATTATTGGTCTGATGTATACCACTTAAATTCCTATCCTTCATCCACTATTATTTGCTTACTACTTCATTTTTTTGGTATACTACGAAGCTACAGTATAATAAGTACACTGACTAATTTAGTTTTCTAAACGATGGCAGATCCAGGAATGTGTATTTAGGGAGGGACTTTCACACGTGGAAGGGGTATAAACTACCTCAATCCCACCATGGTTGGGTGTGAGGTAAGAAAATTTATGATTATGGCATCTCTAGTCTACATGACCACAGATGGTACTCTCAGCCTTCAGATTTAAAATTTGAATATAATTTCATTTTTTTTTTTTTTTTTAAATTAATAGGGAGGGGGCACCAGGCCAGCTTCCCCACCTCTTAACTCTGCCACTGATATCAGTGAGTTCATAAGTGATGGTAATATTTTTTTCAACATATTTCTGATACAGTTATATCAATAATATTCTACATTGTTATTTCATTATTGTAATTTAGAACATTTATTTAAGCAACATCCTTCAGATAGCATTGAATATTGCAATGAAAAAAATTAATACAATATATTTGATAAATTAGAAATGTTCAAGGTTAGACACTGTCATAGTGATAAATCATTAGATCATGTGACTAGAGGTCAGGTCATTGCCACATCTTAATGAGCATGCTCAGATCATAGAATTGCAGCGCACAGTCAGAATATTGTTTAAGTTAATATCTGAAAATGTAACAATATTATTGGCGACTACTGTATTCAGGTTTGTGGCGATAATTCATAACAATTCAATTATGATGCTTTAATATACGCACACATAATCAGATAACTCACCAATTAAATAGTAACCTAGAGCATACCCTTTACATAACTGCATCACATAAGTTCATAATTAAATTAAGAACTACATAAATAAGTAATAATTTATTATCATTATTAATTATATAAGCTACCTATCCAGCACACCCTAACAAAAGACTTTAAGCCTAATTGTACAAAGGGAGGAGCAGCAGATGATTCATTCTCCAAATTGATCCTTTCCTCGTGGCTCTTCCATCTTCTTATCATACATCCCATATTTACCACCAAATTATCACATTAATTGAGGATTAAATCAATGGTATCAAAGTTAGGCTATATGATAGACCATTAAATCAATTTGTATGCAGATTTAAAATCAATTATAATTTCTTACAGGAGTACGAGCTGTACATTTTAGTAGAATACAAAGATAGAACAGACCTACTGTATTTCCTATGTCTGATAATATTACACAATATTACACAATTACAGTAGTATAGTTGTGTATTATATTAAATCATTATATGAATAATGCATGAAAGAAATTCCTGAGGGTCTGCAAAGTATAGGTACATACAAGCAAATTATGCACTAATGAACAATTAGTGCATGGTTTGGGATAGGAAAATAACATTGGGAGCAATGATGTCATGATTGACTTATTTAATTACTATTAACTGATGTCAACAAAAAATCTGATATCACATATAGTATTCTGTTTGTCCACAGATAACAACATGCAATATCACTATTCAACTTGTTTTACTTGTCTATAGTCATACAGTTTATGGTTCAATGACTCCCAAAGTCTCTATAGCAAAGGGTACAGATAAACAATATCAATATTAAAGATTATAAAGTTAGAAGAGGCCCAAAATATTTAGTATTAACTACGTCAACAAAAAATCTATGACAAATCACATAGTATTCTGTTGTTTGTCCACAGGTAAGAACATGTAATATCACAATTCAAACTTTTTTTTTTGTCTACAGTCATTGTTTCTGGTTCAATGTCTCCCTAAGTCCCTATTCATCTAAAAGTACAGGGTAAAGATAAAGATAGATAAGCAATAAAAATATGATGAATATTGTTTTTATACTTTCTCACTAAAGAGAATCTACTGCAATCTCCAAGATGTAATAAAATACCATTTCAATTTACAGCTGATTCCATAAACAAACTGCTAATGCTAATAATGCTGCTAACACAGAGGACAGGGCCTAGCAAAAAAAAAGGAAAGAAAAAAGGAAGCATGGTATTCCAAAACAAATTTTGGATTTTTAGTAAGATCTTCGTTTTTTTTTTCATATTTTATAGTAAGTGTAAAAAATAAATGTATTTTTGAATACGTACGACAAAATAAAAGTTAGCTATTAAAATGTGTAGGACAATTTTGGATTTTTAGTAAGATCTTCGTTTTTTTTTTCATATTTTATAGTAAGTGTAAAAAATAAATGTATTTTTGAATACGTACGACATTTGAAGACCGCAAATTATGATTGAATGCATCTCATTTTAGGGTACCAAAAACTTGGTGCTTGGACCTTGGTGGTGTCGGGATTTTCGTGTATCCTAGGCCTAGCTTATTTTAGCCAAGCATTTTTGGGTCATAAACGATAGGGCTTATCACAAAAGAACTAATTCTTCTGGGAAGTAGTATTACTCAGCTACCATTTTCAATTTCAATTTCCAAAACCTTACATACTATAACTTTAAGAAGCATGATGAGAAAAGGTGACGGTGTATTATAGCCTAGGCTAGGCTAAGGCCTACACTTGAATTGCGCTGTGATTGTGAAAAACACAGAATTCCGACAAACCGTTACGAATAGCTAAACATATGTGTACACGTATTCGTTTGCACGAATGTTCATGTGTAAAAACTTCATTGGTAGTCTCAAAACTAAGCTTCACGACTCAGAGTTAACTCTTATCATGGGATTTAAATCTTTCTTTGATGTATTAGCTTTAATTAGTAGGCGAGACTACTAAACAAACCCGCCGCCCGTCAATAATGATGATTTCTAATAAAAATGAAATTTTATCTCTGTCCCTCCCTCCTCCGCAGTTAGTTGCTAGCAACCATATAAGACTATACAAATGCTAATTTGCTATACAATAGATAATCTATCGTGAAATCAAAATCCCTGGAGTCTAATTTTGCTTAAGTGATTTTCTTGCAGTTTGCGACTCATTAGTCAATGCATCTTACCTAACAGTTGAGTCACTCGAGCCAGTGATGATGACTTTGTCGTCATATTGAAGGCACAGAACTGAACCGGTGTGCCCTGTTAGTACTTGAGTACATTGCAATGTATTCCTATCCCAGATCTACAGTAAGATCAAAATGAAATAAGGTCAAGTTACAAATTTACAAATTAATTTAGTATTCGAGTACAAACAAACATGATAAAGGTAATTTTCCAGTACATTACTTTGAAATGCGAGCGAGGATTTGAGGTGGTTTTAAACGTCGAGTACATTTTGCAATATAACATTGGGGTGTTAGATAAATATACACATACTAAAGCCGGTCTTACACGTTACGATTTTGCTTATGATAAGCTGCGCTACAACACTTATGATTACAATTTTTTTAACATGTTCAAAATTCTATGGTATTGTATGCTTCCATATGACCACCTGTTTTGTGATACATATCTTTTACAACTTGACAACTCCTGTGTACCAGACAATTTTAAGCTGAGCGTGTTGTAGCGCAGCTTACCGTAAGCAAAAATCGCAATGTGTGAGACCGGCTGAACTTGTATGCTAAAGCACGTTATAAAAACATATTGCAGCCATGGGTACTATAAATCAGACTCCAACCGAAGCAAGCTACATAGCAAGCTAATGTTTTCTGATTAGAATTGCTCTTTTTCTCTTTATCACTACCATCTTTATTATTATAAATCACTTTGATGGTGACTCTCATATGCTTTTTCTAAATTCCTCTTTTCTCTTTCATACCATCTGAGCATTCTCAGTCTATAAATTCTAAAGAATGATCTTCCATGTTATTGGAGGATACATTTCCTTCAGAGGTTAGCTTCAATGATCATGATGGTCATTACTGGTGCTAAAAAAAATCATGATTTAGCCTCAAGGCCTGACTTAGTGTAAAACATGTATTGCTTTATATTGATCCAAAACTAAATCCAGGACTCATAATAAATGCAGAAACACACACATGTTTTATTGTGATTTTTACAGAAGATATCCGCAAGCTTGCAACAGACGCTCACTGAATAACTTTGCCAATTCTGAACGAATTTGCTCAAGTCTGGCAGACACCATCACATTTCGTTTGTCAAACTTGCCAAAATTGAACATCTGTAAGAGTACTGTACGCTCAGATTCAGACAAATCTATCAAACAATTAATATTCTGTATTATGACTGTTGACTGCGAGATAACATACTTATCTGTAAAATTTGACAGACATAAATCTGAAAATATATATTTTCGATACTTAGTAGTAAGTAATATTTGTAGGGAAGCGGTATGTTGTATTGTGTGAAGTTTTAATACATTGTGATTTTATAATACATTTCATTTATGGCCCAAAAATTTAGGATAATTTACGGATTAACTACTATTGAAATTAATATATCCATAACTATGTGCTGTACTAATGTATGTTAAAACTGACAGACAGGAATCTGAAAATTTGTGTTTTAGATGCCTAGTAGATGTAATATTTTGTGTATGTGTATGTTTTGTTATGTACACCTTTAATACTACAGTATATGATGTACCTGTATGTGTATACACACAAACATACTTGTATACACACAAACATACTTTATTTCCTTTTTTGTAACTATTATTTAGTGTTTTTTTTAGACGTACTCTTCACAATAGAAGTATGCAACTGATACAAAGGTGAAGTTGGTGGCATCTTTCCTTTGTGACAGAAAGCAGCGTATTAAGCTTGGATCTGTTTTTTCTAGTTGGGTTTCCTTGAATGGGGGGATACCACAAGGCTCTTGGCTGGGGCCCATACTTTTCATTCTCTTTGTCAATGACCTCATGGCCGGAGTGTCGTGCATCAAATATATGGATGACACTACCGTCTATGAGCGCATTGGCAGAGACAGATCTAGTGGGCTCCAGTCAATTCTTGATATGGCAGTCAGTCAAGTCTTGATATGGCAGTTCATTTGATGATTGGACTCTTGATAATCATATGGTTATCAATACCAATAAAACTGTTGAAATGCTAATTAGCTGCAAATCTAATAAATCAAACTTTGACCCTCTCAGTATTAATAACAGTATAATTAACAACGTTAATTCGTGCAAACTCTTAGGACTTAATATTTCGAGTGACCTGTCTTGGCAATTGCAAGTAGATACTATGATTTCCAAGGGTAATACCAGATTGTATTTCCTCAAACGATTACGTAGATCTGGCCTATGTGTCCCGGGTATGATTCGCTATTATGTTGCTGTTATATGTCCCGTTTTAGAATACGCAACTCCAGTTTGGGGAACTTGTATCACTGAAACACAGAGTAAACAGCTTGAACAAATCCAAAGTAGGGCTATAGGGGTTATTTTACCTGGTGTTAGTTACGAATGTGCAAGGTCCTTTTTAAGTATCCCTTTATTGTCAGAGAGGCGCACCCGGTTGTGCAGGGACTATTTCCAGAAGCTCAAAATCTCAACGCATAGGCTAAATCATCTTTTGCCTAAAGCTAGGGAGAAGCATTACAACCTAAGATGTCAACGTGAATTTTCTCTCCCTAGAATAAAAATCGAGCGTTTGAAGAATTTCATAACAAATACTGGTTTGTTCAATAACTGGTAGGTCATCCCTGTACACCCGGGCCCTCCTCTCTGGCGAGGTCTTTTTAAATGAGTTTTTCCTTTTACTTTTCGCAAGCCGGTCTTTTGGTTGGTTTAGGTGTCGGTCTGAATTTTCTTATAGATTTCCTATTGCAATAATTTTTTATCCTAATTGTAAATTAAATGTCATTTAAATTTTAATTATTTAGCGAATTATTTATTTTTGTACTTGAATTTTTTACTTAATGTTGCCTAATTAATTATAATGCCTTTATTGTAGAATATTTATGTGTTTAGTGGGGTTGTGAAGTTGTTTTGTAATGTTTTTCTCCCCTTTTGTTAAACTTCAATTTTGAATGAGGGATTGCAATAAAGTTCTTCGTATTCGTATTTCATAAGTTCTAATAAATTATTATTATTATTATTATATTATTATTATATAGCCATCAATAACATTTTAATCCACTGTGAATTTATAATGTCTTCAGGATAATTTATGGATTAGTACTACTACTAATTTGATGAATATATTCTTACCTTAATTGTGTTGTCCCTTAACCCACTAACAATTCTTGTCTCGTCATACTGTAGACAATACACTCCTTTACTATTTTCGCTCTGGCATTGAATCCTGTGTAAACCATGGAATCCACATCGCCAATTGTTCTCAATTAACTATAAAAATATAAACAATTTATGTTTCTTTTACAAAAAAAGTAAAAAAAAAAATATATATATATATATATATATATATATACAGGTCTCCCTCCAATAAAACTGGGGTTTCCATTAGTTTTTAACAGCTTTGGTCTCTAATTAGAATAATAAAGATAAAAGACATTTAATATGGGACCATAGGAAAGTGGTCTTTAATTGGGGTGGCTGTTAATTAGGAAGACCTGTAAAATGACATGTCATCAATTCAAGGTTTTGCAAATACAGTGTACAGTAATAAACAAATTATGCACTTCTTTGAAAACAGGTTTACAAATTACTGATTTTTTTTTTCAGGTCAATTTTTGTACACCGGTCAGAGTTCTTCATGGGAGCGGACAAAAATTTCATCCTACCCACTCTGCTCAAATTGGCCTAGCCACTAGAGGATGCTACTTAGAAATTATTGCTCAAAGGTTCTATTAAATTGCCAATCTTTTTGAGATACTAAAATAGGCCTCAAATATTCCTTTTTCCAAATTTTTCATTAATTTAAATACCATGGTTTTTTCAACAGAAAAAAAAAGAGTATTTTTGTGATTTTGTCGAGTTTGTTTTTTATGCATATGTACAAACAAATGCAGTCACATTGAAATGCAGGTGGAACCAGACTGTTTATATATGCAGGATTAGACAGTATCACGGTATCAGAATAACAAAAGCAGTGTTTGTTTGATTCTTTGCTCACAATTTGCAAAACAATGCATTCAATATCAACAACTTACTGAACGCTTCAGGATAAGAAAATAACAATGGAGGTAGATTTGATGATGTCACGATTAGCTTATAAATAATTGTAAAAGTTTATCTCAATTTTTAATTAAATGTACAAAAACAATTATAAGCATTTTTATAGCAGCAAATATACCTTTGATTGGCCTACTGTACTTGAAATATATTATAACCACATTACTGCAATCAACTCTGAATACATTAAAACAAATTTGAGTCCGGACGTTTTTCCATATAAAGGAAATATCCGTAACTTGCAATAATCATTCGGTAATTACTAAAGAATGAGAAAGTTGACCATCTCTGTCGTAACTATCCTTAATAATATAATTAGACTAAGGCGTGGCATCCTGCACAGCCATCTTCAATTAAATTGAATTTATTGAAGGAATTTAGACAACACAAGTAAAACAATAATACAAGACGAATAAACTCACCTCAATATTGCCTATAATTTTAGGATACAATGTCCGAAAAAATGAGTTTGGTTTTGGAGTTTCTCCGTGCTTTCCTTTGAACAAATACGCACACCTAGTAGAAACAAGAAAATCACAATTTTTGATTAAACATGTTATTCAAATGACAAAATAAAAAATTCTTACAAGAGTTATTCAGATGAAATAGTTTCCTTCCTTTACTTGAAATTTGTATAGCACTGTTACAGTAGTACTATAGCGAGATACAAATACGGTGCACCCTGCAATTCGAGAACCCTCTGATTCCTCAATCCCTCTAATTCAAGACCAAGTCTATTCCAAAAAACCAAATAACAATCATCAATCTTTTAGCACAAAGCTAATCGAGTGAGACCGAACCGCAAGACTACCCCAAATTTTCAGGTCCTTAAAAGTGGTCTGGAATGGGAGGGCAAACTGTACAACATGGTTCGAGGTGAAATAGTGAATTCTACTTGATGAGGTGTTGGATGATTGGGACTAAATCTGAAGCGAAGCTTACTGAGTGGTGTGGTGTGTTGATTTCAATATATTAATAACATATTGTATTAAAAAAACTGGAAAATAACTAGCAGTATTACGAGAATGTAATGTAATTATTACAAATAAATACATGTACTGTACTATAGTACTCTACTTTTGCCTTAAATACACAGTACCTGGGCTTTGAATTCTAAGCTACAATTCCCATTGCGAAAACAAATATAAAAAATCAATTGCCAGCCAGTTTTGGAAAAATATGTTTTTCTTACCAAAGAGTCTAAAGTACCTCAAATTATTATAGTTTGAACAGGTCACTTTTCAAGATTTGATTAAACCATGGATTGCAATAATCCATGGATTTATAAGCAACGAAAACTAGCCTTGAATAAGTCCTAGTCTACTGTTCTGTAGGCCCATAGTAAAAAAACATCCTTAACAAAACAACCAAGCTTGATTTTCAAATGTCACTGTGCTTTTCTGACAACATTTTTGTCCTTATTTGTACTGTAATCCCTGTTCTACTAAACAGCCATTTTCACCCAGGAAATTTTCTCCAGGTACATCATTGGAATTTTTACTCTACAAAACATTTGTACAGTAGAACCTTGATTTTACGTACGGTACGGGACCAGAGGGCGTACGTAAATCAGAGGATTCGTAAAATAGAGTTTGGGTTAAATTTGTGGTAACCTTTGACCTAATATGTACGTAACGCTCATTAAACGTATGTATGAAGGAACGATGTTACCTAGGCCAGACCTAGCCTCTAGGCCTACGAATAAAACCATTTGATAGTGTTTTTATTCATCACTTTACGATGTCATAATAAAGTGTTCAAATAAAACCATGTGTCTAGTGTATTAATTCATCACTTTATATCTTTTATTTAACTAGAAGAAGATGAAAATATTGTAAGATTACCTATACGACAAAGGCATAACTTGGGAATTCCCCTTCATGCCTATTCTAAACAGAGCTGCAGTGTTGTCTGGGCCTGTTGAGACAAACTAAAACCATGTGCGCTGCACTGGGCGAGCCAACCAATTAGCGTTCATGTACGTGAGACAGCAACCATGTGCAATGCACTGGGCGAGCCAACCAATTAGCATTCGTGTACGAAACTATGTCTACCCAGCTTTGTGTAAAAAAATTCAACCAGACAAGATTTTCCATGGTTTGCCACACAAAGCTAAGGAGGAAAGCAATTATTTTGAGCACCATCGGAAGTTGTTTATCTCATTCAGTTTACGTGGTTTTAGATTACAACAACCCGATATCAGACTCAATCAACGTTGCTGTTTAATGAAAATACGTTGCATTATGGTTTGTTTATTTTTATAGTTTATTGTTATAGTCTTTTTACTTATGGTTCCTCTGAAAAGGGCTGTTTGTTTTGAATATTTTCAGGTTTTTTGATGACGTCATCGTCGATACGAGGCGTATGTAAAACCGAGGGTTCGTATAACTGAGGTACGTAAAAACGAGGTTCTACTGTAATACCACTGAAAATGGTACAGTACATTACATACAGCAGCTTATACATCGAAAATAATTTTTCTAAACTAATATATTTACTGTGTATGTGACTAATATTCTCATTAGGATGTGATACATTAGCATGTACAAATCCTTCTATAAGGTCATCCAAAGCTTAAGGAAGTATCATTCTTACCGGTTACATTGAATAAACATAAAATTGTTTTCATCCAGCCATGTTTTATTAACAAGTGATTTAGACGAACATATCCGTTTAATACCACTGGTTATTGATGTGCACTTTTAAGCTTATTATAGATTATTGTAGAAGGGTCTACGAACTGTACAACAGCTTAGTGGATTTAGGAAACATTGACGGTAGAATAATGTTGGTTTGCCTTTCAAAAAGCAAAAGCTGAAATACTGCACACATGTGAATTTATTTATAGGTATTTTGTTTCTTTTACACTATTTTGTTGCTTTACACTATTAGCATAATTTTGGGTTGAATGAGGCTATATAACCCTTTTTTGTACCATGCTGCCTATTTTCATTAGGTAGGGCCATCTTCAAGGAGTACAGTAGAGCATACACCGATCTTCAGCAGGACTTGTACTGTATGCCCATAAGGTGTACAACATAACACCCATCTTCATTGAGTGTAGGCCTGTCGTCAGTGTGCAGGGCAATATACAGTACTGGACAGTATTATTGCAAAAATCCAACGCATTCAACCTGTTGCGTTTTTGTTGACAACGCATTGGCATTTTCGTTGACAACGCATTGGACGTGGTTGTTGAAACTGTTCACATCGTTGAAAGCTCAGAAATTGTTATTCAGAATTCAACGCAAAGTGTTGTATTAACAGTTTCTAAATAAACAGGCACTTACAAAATAGACGTTTGTTTATTACGAACTTACATAATTGTAAAGAAATAAGGTAATAAATTCAAGATTTGTTACTGTCGGTAGTTGGATTGGAGCCGAGTTGTAGGATTCCGTGTAGGATAGCCTAGGCCCAGGCCTATTTTGTTTTTGACGATGAATATTATGAGGTTGTCACATACTACATGAGCAGTCTGGATACTCCACTTAATAAAAGAAAAAAAAACAGAAAGAAACAAGAAAAAAACCAAAGGGACTCACCAATATATCTCCTCGAATAAATCTACTAATACATCTAGAGTGCTGCATAGGATATACTGTAGGCCTGCTAGACCTTGTCTTCCAATCAATCCTACATTATTGCACCCCGTTCCTAGGCAATGTCATTTGCCGTTGTGTTTACAATACAACCTAATCTTCAGTTAAAAAATGCCCATACCCAAGTACACATTTATTTAATTATTTTTGGGGATTAAACATTATAATATTCATGAATAACTTCGGTCTCCAAAATAAATCAATGTTGTTTACTGATAATCATTGTAACATCGTCGCTAGATAGGCTAGAGTTTGTTGAATTAACTATCAACAATAAAGTGGCACAAACACGCCTTTGTTAAATAAACAACAAACTTTCAACGCTCATTTCAACGCAATGCCAACGCAACGACAACGGGTAAAATGCGTTGTGATTTTTGCAATAATACTGTCCAGTACTGTATACGCACACCAATTTAGGTACCCCATCTTTAAGCTTTGTACAGTACAGTACACACCCATCCTCATCGGATACAGTAGGCCCATTTTCAAGGTGTACAGTACAGATACTGTGCAACCACCATGTGTTGCCCCTTCATCTTGTGTAAGTGCACCTTTGTGAAAACCCACCTTTCTCATGAGAGAGCAGCTTAGCTCAGTCGGCTAATCTGGTGGTAGCCGCTGTGTGTGTGCTGAACCGTGGAGATCTCTAGGTCCATGGTTCAATTCCCATCGCTGCCTCTCATTGTGTTTCAGTTAGAGGGCTGAAATACAAGTTACAATAGCGCACCGTCTTTCAGATGAGACGTTTAAGCCGTTGGTCCAGTGTGCACGTTAAAGAACGCAGTACACTCTTCGGAAAAGAGTAGGGGATTGTCTACCGATGTACTGCCCAATCACCACCAGAAGGACCCCACAGGAAATAAGGCTTCTTCTAGACTTTCGTGGGCTATCCTTGGTGTTTACACTGAATAAATCCAATCCAATCCAATTACTGAAGGTAAATTTTTAAGCACATAAATCATAAAATCTGATTTTAATGTACTGTACTTTCACAATTGGAAAATTAGTATATTAAGCTAGCCTTCAGTGCAAATTTCTTAATTGGAAATCAGCTAGTTGGCATACTTAGGGACCTTCATCAATTTGATTATATGCATATTGCAATGTCATTCTAAAAAAAAAACTTGTACTCCTATGTGGAGTGAGACAAACTGAAAATGCCTTGGCCAAGTCGGCAAATGAAATAGTACAGGATAAGAACCTGAGCAATAATCACTGTGCCAACCGCTTTCACTACCTGTGAATATTACACAAGTCAGAAGTGATGTTGGTAGTCTATGAGAGATGATGCTCACCTAGATAAACGGAATAATAGCCTATTCTCTCCCAAAAGAGAACATCCCTTGAAAACAAAATGGTGGAACAGTTGACCCTAAAATCAAGTACAAGCGAACCTGCAATTATTATTTTTTTTATAGAGTGCACTTGTGAACAGGGGCCACACCAGTTGCGAAAAACGCACCCGATGGGCCAATAAACGGTTCGCTGCAACCGGTAAAAGACAATTAAGAAAATAAAAAACAATTCAGTATGTAAGCAAGAAAAAAAAAAAGAGAGGTTTTTAGAATGCTTAGGTTTTTGCTTGTTTGGTTTTTTTATTAAATTTTTATAATTATAATTTATAATTCATCCTCAATGTTTTTTATATCAAGTTTAAAGCCGATAAATAATTTTATTCAGGTAAACTTACCACCCCTTCCTTTCTGACAGCCCTCTCCATAGGGTATCTGTTCGCACCATCCGTTCGATTAGTTTCTTCCATAGCATTCCGTCTGAGATCACGCGATACCATTCTTTGCAGACTAGTTCGGCAGCACATAATGATTTAGCATCTAGGTATGAAAGGATACTCTCTGCTATATGGTCTAAGCCCTTCTCTGTAATACAAGCAACACAAAAGAAATCAAATAATGAATAAAATATAGAATTACAGTATAGAACACTAAGCCAGGGTCTTAGTGCATTTCACATTAACCCAATAAATGGAACATAAAATCTGCATTCTAAGAATTGTTCTAGGTTTTCAGTTGATTTTATTTCATTTATTTAAGCATTATGCCATAAAATACGATTGAGGTATCAATTTCACTCCTTATGTTTGTACTACATGTAAGCATGGAGGGAATTAAGTATAAAGAAAGAGGCATTATTACTCTGTAATTGTAATCATCACATTGGTAATCGATCATAGTATAGTTAAGAACATTTGTTTATAGATCGATATACTGTAGTGTCTTGTTTTAAGCGTTTGTTTTGTTTACCAAGATGTTTGGTGATAAAAGACAACCTGAGTGTGTCACACAGGAAAGCTGGCTCTTACACTAGGCTCTGATATACATAAGTGCAAGTAAGACATGGTTTGAAGTGCTACGGTACAACAGTACAGTAATTGCTTTACAGGGACCAACGAATAACATCCAAAAATATGTACACAGAGTCACTTTTGAAGAGTTGATAACAATAAAGCACAAAATTATTATACAGATTGCCTGCTTAGAGGTGTAATATAACATTTGATATCCCAGAGGAAATTATATTTTTTCGAGGGAAAATATAGTCCTGAGAGAAAAATATAATTCCCAAGGTGACATCAAATGTTATATTACACCGATAGACAAGGCAATATCTGTTATATTACATAGCCAAAAATAGATGCAAATAATTAACTGAACAATACTTTAAATATCAAGAACTTTTATTTAACTTTTACACAATATCTATTATATTACATAGCCAAAATACTTAATATTACCGTCACTTTTTAAAAATGTTTCTGTAGTCCGTAGCGTAGCGTTATCATTGATCGTTTAGCGTACATTTCACCGTTTGCTCTCCTTACCTCAGGATAGAATGACAGGAGAAACGCGTTTAGCTCCGTTGCTGTGAAATTTTCAATGCAAGTAGGCCTACATGTAGGCCTAATTAATGATTCCTTGGTCTTATATATTATTCACTGAGTACAGTAGGCCTACATAACGGATGAATTCACAACAAATTTTGTACACCCAGAATCCTTTTCGTCAATAATTCCATCCAATTCGTCGAGAGATTTAAACTTATTTGAAGTCGCCATTTTCGAAGCGCTCGACTAGCATTCACTACAGGCGCAATGCGGGTGCAATCCGGTGACGTCAGAGACTGGTCACTTTTCGAAGTTATATTTCCCTAAGGGGAAATATAACGTTTCCAATCCTCGTAGCGCTAGTCATGTGATGCCATTTCGACCAATCACGTACTCGTATCCATAGGCTATGTAATATAACACTATCCACCTACTGTCCACTTTTGGGTGGAAAGAGATAACATGGGATACAAATCCATTCCATAGGGTAAATTCATCTACATAGCTAGGAGAAAATAAAAACCAACAGAGAAGAACTAACAAAAAAATAAATAAATTGAGTACCTGAGGTGAAAGAGTAATTGAGGGTACTTTTTGGCTCTTCCTCAAGAACCTAATGTACTGTTAAAGTATGCTATGTGATGATAACATTTCTGTATTTGGACTGAATATAATTATCGGCAGGTGGCTGGTTTGCAAGACAAGACTTACATTTACCTATTTATAGGGCTATGAAAAAGTCAAGCCTACTGTCTGTGAATGGTAAAAGTAATAGGGGTTCATACGGTACTGGAGCTTATCTCCAACTTCAGGTAGTGTAAACGAATGAGAGTGTAATACCCCCTCCCCCCACCCTACCGGGTTGGGACGCTGACCACCACAGGTTTAACTCTCAGCAATTTGCTGGTACCCACTGATACAGCTGGGTAGACTGAAGCAATGTACTGTACTGTCAGTAGATAAAGTGCTTTGCACAAAAACACCAGCGAAATGCAGTGCAAGATTGACATTTTGCAAACTACAATTTTTTTTTTTTTTGCCAACAGTGTTTTCATTACTACTATACACTACCATTAAAAGCAATAAATATTTTCCTAAAAAGCCAGTTTAATAGCAAAACAAACATAATTATTAAACACATGAAGTGGGACAGGTCGTGGTTCAGGCATCTGTATTCCAACAACGTATTCATCAAACCTCACATACAGTAAGTCAATTTGAGTCGGCCCTGAGTCGGCTGTAATTTAAGGCGGCCCTGGGCCGGTCCTAGGCCGGCCTAATAAGTGTGCTTGGGCTCATACTGTACCTGTCACAAAAAAACCAACTCGGCCCAAATCAACTTGGCACAGCAGACATGTTTCATATATGTAAGGATAATATCAACGTTTTTGTTATTATTGCAATTTCTTAAAAAACAAACAAGCTACAGTACAGTATGAAGTTAGATTTAAATTACTACCAATTAATGGTTGTACCAATGTTTTTATAAAAAAGTATTTTAAAATGTAGACTATTAAATTATTAAATCATTAATCATGACAATGTCTTATTCTTTTTATGTAGTAGACTCCTTGTAGCATCAAATCAATATTATCTTGTACTTTGCTATTATTAGCAGATAACCTTCAAGCATAACATTACTTTAAACGCATGTGTCATTGTCAGCCAGACATTACCTTGTTGCATTAACAAAATAGCCAATTTTGACACTTTCAGAAAACCTCTTATAATTTATATATAGCTAATCTTTTACTGCATTGTAATAAATAATGACATAATTTTAATTTAACTAAATTATCATCATCAAACTAAAATATATTTTAATATATCTTAATTATAATTAAAAAATAAAACAATAATTTGACTAAAGATATTACTATTTTTCAAATGTTATAATTGAATAAAATTCCTTTAAAAGGTCCATGCTCTAGAATAAATACTAGGTCCATGAACATTCAATGAACTATACAGCACTTCCTTATTTTATAATATTTGTGTGTAATCCAATGATGCTTACAGCATTTAAATCACTGCGGATTCCTTACTGGTAATGTTTTTAAGGAAATTTGGCTTCCTTTTTAGTTGGGAGACTACAGTACAGTATGCTGGGCAGAGAGTTCAACATACTATACTTGACCCGCCCTTTGAAGTACTGTACTTTTCATTTTTAACTTTTACTTGGAAAGCCATATTTCATGAATAATCAAGTAGTGGATTCAATCATTTTTAAAAAATCCTCTTTAATCTATCTCAAGAATTTTTCAAATAATAATTAATATTAACCAATTATAATAAATGGTTGAGCATTCCAACATCAATTTGCAGCTGTACAAAAACATTATCAAGAATTACTAAAATCTGACAATTGTCTAGAACACGGGCAGTGGACTCTATATCTGACAATGGGTCAGAGTTAGAAAGAACGTGGACCCCTGAAAAAATGTCTTCCCACACAATAAACCTCAACATAAAATATGAAGCAACTTAATTATGTACAGTAATACCATAATTACAACAAAAATAATTAAGAAATATGCAGTAATATTATAACAATATTAGTGATATCAAACAATAACGACAGCTGTAACAACAATATTGACTAGAAATAACGATGAAGACAACAATTGATAATAAACAATGGAGAAGAAAATACTAATAATACTAAAAAAATAATAATTAAATATTAACAAATAATTTTTACAGACTTACTTGGTAATGCAGTGATGAAATCTCTCTGTAACATAGGTTTCAAATAAGTATTAATCTGTCCATGTTGGTGGTGGCACATGCGCGTAATCAAATGCTCTACAAATTCTAATTGTTCTGTTTCATTCCATTGTTCAAAATATTTTAGGCACTTGTCTTTTTCCTCATTAAATTCCGGTGTGTTCTCCTTAATTCTTGAAACAGGCCTTATATTCGTCTGAAAGAGAGATAAAATTAATAAAATAATAGGCCTACTATTAAAAATATGATTTTGCAGTTTTAGGAAAACATCAACAATAATGGTAATAATAAACTTACACTGTACAAAACAACTTCTACTTTATTGAGACCAAGAAGAAAATTCAGCTTCTAGAACCATAATCACAACTCTCTGTAACGATGAACCTATGACATGCAAGTCACTAGCCATATACTTACTGTAGACCATGGTGGATGGATTTAATCCACAGTAATACCAACCTCAGAAATTTGAATACAGTATGCGACTGATAAGAATGTGTTGTTACAGAGCAGGATTCTCAAGTTGGGAAAAAATCATTTCCAGGTAATGTTGTTAAACGAGCTTTCTAAAGACATCTACTTGCATTTTGTTGTGTATGGTGATAGATACCCATCATTGGTACTGCATTCATGCAAATATTCTGAATGTACAGGAGATTGTTAATTTTCTGGAAGATCTTGCTTGCTTGTGGCAGTGTGAAAGGCTATCCCAATTTTCGGTAGAGACCCCCGTGAGTTGCAGAGAGTTGGGAGCCCTGAAGGGATTTTGGCGTGCAGTACGAAAACTAGTGACGAATTCCAGAGCTGGAGGAGGGTACAGCATAGGAATTACTTAACAAAAATAAGCCACTAGACCCTCACACAATAGGCAAATTCAGACCAGTTTAGAACTAAGCTGAAAAGTACACTGGAAGTAACACTAACAGGCTACTAATAGATGTAAACGTCGGGTAGTTGTGCAAGTGAAGACGCTTTTTGACGTATTGGGCTTTGAGCTTACGGACTTCGGACGATATACTCCTAAGCATCCTCAGTAGTGTGATACATGTTCGTAATCAAGTTAAGCTCCCAGAACGCGCCGTGTAGACACACTTTCTTTGAGCGTGCATATTATAAATGTGACCTTTAATATGACCTCACTTATTCCAAAGAATAATTACCTACAAACAGCATTTTCTGTGATGTGCTAACTTTTTTTAGCCATGATATTTTCAATTCATATTGTTTAAAAGAATTTATGCACAGTACTGTGACGATAGACAATTATAGCATTACAGCACTTATCACTCTGAAAATTTTGCATACAGTAGTAAGCCCATCGATTAGTGATTTCTACTGTATGCTTCGAAGTAAATAAGCTTGCCCTGGTTAAGCACCATCATCGCTTTTCTGAAGTAGCGTGCACATATTTTTGAAGGTCGTCTGAACATTCCAGTATATTATAATTACGCTTGTTTCAAAGCCTATGGACACAATACAAAACAGAGGTACATACTCAATAAATGTCTGGGATTCAAAACCAACTAGTTTAAAAAACTCAGACTTTTACCGTCGTTTAAGAATAATTTGCCAAATTAATTGTTTTAAAAATTCAAGAAACTGAAAAAAAAAAAAAATGTATTCGCAAGAATGATACCGCAAGAATGTTTGAGTATCCTGTCAATAGACATCTCCAAAGTGTCAATCAAACTTAACAACTGGCCAATCAGAACAAGGTCATTAATATGCATGTCTCACACACATGTTGTCCAACAAACGCCATTTGCGCAAATTTTTACGCTGTCGTTTTGAGGGGCTTATCAGAAATGTTCATTGTAGAAGTAGAGAAAACCATGTCAGCTTTCAACCATCACTTTTTAAAATAATGAGCATTTTTCTTGTTCATAATCCCTTCCTTCTTTTCTTCCCAATATTTAAACACATTTACCATACTGCGCAATGGAAATTTCCACTAAGTCCCTCCCATTGGATACTGTTGCTAGGCCCCACAAAATGACAGTGTAAAATCATACGCAAACACATGCTTTTGTCGGAAAACATGTGTGTGAGACACGTGTATTCCTGGTTAAGTTTGATTGTCACGCCGGAAAGGTCTCTTACAATAATTTATAATCTAGATGCAGTTATACATATCAGCATCATGCAAGTGCTTCCTGAGTCAAATACTTGTGTCAGACTCGCTTCATAAATACATCATCAAATGCTGAAATGCTCTAATAAAAGCCGAATGTAAACTTGTCAAATTTCCAATTAAAAAAAAAAAATCCTCAGTTAGTTACTGAATCCAGACTAAGAATGAATGTATTCTTAGTCTAGATTAAAGTATTGTACATGTTGAAATGTCATTTGTGTAATTTGTTGTGTTGAGTAGCAGCAACTGATTATATTTCAACTATTTCAAACTATATAAAGGATTTTTAAATATTAAGTAATAATTCTAGTAAGAATTATAAAATAGCACCACAGGTTTTAAAACAATTTGCATTCTTTCTTGACATTTTGATTCAAAACTACTTCAAAACCTTCTTTATACCCTCAACCTTATGTCTGTATACATAATCTTGGTTAGGGTCCATACTCAAACCAACTTATGTTCCCATAATGCCCTCCGTCCTTGTTCTTGGTGCTGACCCATAGCCTCCTGGGGTCAATTCAACTGCTTTCACTTAGACAGTCCTTTGTGTGTATAAGCCAAAACCCCAAACATTTACAGCTAAATTTTCGTTTTAGCTTACAGTATGGGTGCGTTCGGGTGAGAACGGGAAAATTTTACATAGGGTTCTTACCAGTATTGGTCTACCGGTTTTGTGCAGAACTCGGCTTTCAAAAAAACATTAACCTCTGATGTAAGACCTATAAGGTCTTAGGTATGTAATAGGGTAACAATCTGGATTGTAGGCTGTTTTTGGCATTAAACTGTAAACGAAGCAGGGACCATGAAAATTTAAACAGACTTTACTTCTGGTGCGTGTTGAAACAATTAAAGGGATTAAGTGATAAAGAATGCTCTCTGCTGCTAAAGCATGCTGCTTTTGCTCCTCCAAAAAACACTGCAATTTTCAGCGTTCGATTATCAGCGGATATCAGCAGGTGGTCCACGTTTAACATCCATTCGGGCGAGAACTGGAAATGGCCGTTTCCGGATTTATACTGTGTTGGACTCCACAAAAAAACTTGCCCAAACGCACCCTATTATTTTTATCAATTAGTTCAAGTAATTAAGTGTGTTTAATCATGTTCCATACTGTATGTGCTAATGTGAAGAAGAACCAGCTGCAACTCCATGAAGATTTTAAACACTAGAAAAGAGGTAATATAATTAAAACATCATAAAATACTGTCTGTTAGCAGTTAGGAAAAACTTGGGAGGAAGTAAACAGTCTGCAGAAATTACCATAAAGTTTGCTTTTCATTAATCCTATATTTTGTCTTTAGTGTGTATTTCAATAAATGAATTTGGAAAAATAAATGAAATTCAATGTGAATACAATAATCCACAATATAACACATGTAAAAATAAGTTGTTAGTCGCCTCTCGACTCAAGAAAACTGCCCTCCCTGGAAAATCTAACCGATACTCTTTTGCCTTCTACCGTAATAGCTATTTTCAACAGTGGTGGCGACTGCAGGGGCGATTCTGCTACTTCCGACAAACGTGGGCTCCCTGTCGAACACGGAATGTTATTACGTTAAGGGACATTGCAATGTACTTGGTAGTTTGGTGTTTACAAAATTCTCCCAAAATTCCCTCTACAAAATTTTAAAATGTAAAAAAAAGAAAGGGATGATCAAAAACTTTTATTGCAGTACGACCTTTGACCAGAGTTGATAAAAAATGGTAAATTCAAACTTTAAAAAAAAAATGCACTAATGTTTATAAAACATATTTTTAAAATGAAGATCTGCTGTCCAAAATGATAGTTTACATCCTGTTTTAAAAATTAAATACTGCTATACTGTATTCCAGCCAATATTAAATCCTGATCTAATAATCTGAAGGATTAATTAAGTCTATAATTATTCCCATAAATATAAGCATATAGACAACACTGCACATCCTGGATGTTAAGTAGGTGTGCATAATAAGAAATGATACTCATTGATGCCATTATCTTTCTTAAGAACTATTCACAGGTTTAGACAGAAATTTTATTGAGCTCACATTGCTTACTTGTACAGTATTTGCACACACTAAGATAACCAGGATCTAGTTCATACTTATTTAAAATATTTCCATTCCCAAGGACAGGTTCCAAGTACTGCAGTTTCTCTATAGTAAACACTTACACACAGTGCTCATTAACTTTATTGTTGATACTACTGAGCCATGACCATTGCATTCATACAATATGGATCCAATGACCATAAGGAATAAATTTTTTTTTTCATCTGGGGATTTTGAAATTGGAGAAATAGCCAATCTTTTGGATTTTTTGTATACTGTTTAAAGCCCCATTCCCGGCAAAATTTCAGTTGTTAAGAAAAATCTAATTTTTGTATAATGTTGTAAAGATTTATAAATATAATACGGAATTGCCAGTTTAACGGAATTTAGACATTCCTAAGAATGAAAAAAATGGGAAATAAGACTGAAATTTGATCTTTTGTGTTCCACACAAAAAATAAATGCGGATGAATTTTCATGTTTGATTTTGCGATAGGTAGTAAGAAGAAATATCGTAGGCGCCGAAAACATTAGCCTATCCAACGCCCTGCTACTAGGCTAGGCCCAGCCTTACCTCGATTTAGGTTCTGTTATCACACATAAAAACGGCCAACATGATTTTCCGTTGCTAGTAATGACACTTGTGAAATATGATATTTCATAGGAATTATTTAAAATTTGTTAAAAAACTGATTCTGATTGAGAATTTGACACCTAAACAAACATATCTCAGCGTTAATCGAACGACCGCATTGTGCGAGATGTGAAGTACAAGAACTAATCTCATTAGAGAGGGTGCACTTTATTGACTGTATAAAGTATACATAAAAGCGAGAGTATTCCAGTGGATGCGATCTACAACCTCTGAATTTGCCTAGTAACGATGAATTCGTCGAGAAAATGGTAATATTTTATGAGAAATAGTCTGTATTTCTCTTTTTTTTTATTCTTTTACGTAAACCTAAAATTCATGCCAATATTTTTCCATGATTTATAATAATTGGAGTAATGCAAATGCATATTTTCTATAAAAAAAGAAAATCAGTTTTTAGTGAAATTTTGCCGGGAATGGGGCTTTAAAAAAAAAAAAAAATATTGCAGATAGTATACCGTAAGTACATTTTTCAAAAACAAATCTCTTCTGAATCTGTATTTTACTGGATAATTTCTCCCGAATTTTCAAGTAATCCCCTCCCAGTCTCCTGGACTCTCGATTTCCCTAAATTTTCAAAAAATAGTCTCAAAATACCAAAAAAGAATTAGTCGGTTTTTAGTAACAATAATTGAGTATTTCAGTTATTCCTCTGTGTGTTGAGTTTATCAACGTCTGCATAAAAAAGGCTTTCCGAGTATTACTAACACCTTAAAAGATCAATTTTATTAACGCTATCAAGAAGAATGCATGCTTGAAAGAAAACATGGATTGGGGCGCCCTTTCCCGGGCCCAGCGCACCTCCTATCTCCCAAATTTTGAGGTTGAAGGGTTGGAACTTCTTTTGAGCCTGCTAACCAGTGTCTACTTGTCATCAAGTTGATGATGCAAATGAGTAAATGCAATGATTGTACATGTTTGACAAAAATGGACTAGGCCTAGTGTAGTTCTGCCTTCTACTGTAGGCCCAGGCCTGGGCCTTTGGCCTAGCCCTATTTATTATGTTTACTTATTTATAGTCCTTAATGACTCAAGAATTTGCCTACTAGAGTACTACATGCAAGTATACAAAGTAGGGATACCGTTAAAAAGGCCTAAATGAGATAGCCAAGGCAATGTAGTACTAACTAGCCTAGGGAGGCGCAGCCTAGCCCTACCAAGCCTAGGCTCTAGCCATCCAAAATTGATGAACAAGTGGATAAATGATGTTTTACATTATATTATACTTTAACTAGAAATTAATGAATTTCAAATATGTATGTTATACAGGGTTATATGATCATTCCACCGTACGTAAGATGATCAACCATATATCACACAAACATAAATTAAGATTATTTAGGCCTATTCACTGATTGTGAATTATCACTCAAGCTGCAGTGCCCTCGCACTGTGACACACAAACAACAACCGATCAAGGCTTTACGAAAATAATGGTCAACTCGCACTATGCCAAAGTACTTACCATTCCATCAGGAAGTTCCTGCATACTCTCGTCTTCAATGTCTGTTAAACTAATCATTATACTATACTATACTGTACAACAGTCTATAAATTCAAATTGTTACACTTTCCGATTATGATAAATAAAAAAATAAGATGACTATTCGCGAAGAAATAAACCAGTGTTTTCCCTATGTATTCTATCTTTAGCTTTGGGAAAATTGGTACTCAGCCACTCACAAACGTCGACAAAGATGACAAAGTGAATTGATCGCAAAAACCAAACACAGTCAACCTCATCGCTTGCTGATCACGACCAGGATGAAGTGCGCCACCAATATAAATACACCCACCCTAAAAAAAAATTACCAAAAATAATCATATACGTGGATGAGCCTGCCCACATAAGAGCGGAAGTTAATGTTCAAATTATTTCCTATTTAGCCCTTGTGTTTTTTGGGGTTTTTTGTTGGCCGTCTACTGAATTTAGATTGACCCTACCCTGCCAACCTTTAAAAGAAAAAAACAATAATAATAAAAGAATAAAACAATGGAAAATTAAGATTCAAATTAGTGGATTTAAATTATTAATGTTTACATGAAGTCGCTAACAGAAAAAAAAATCTAATGATTAAAAAGTATAGAAAGCGTTAAATTTTCTAGCAGAAATATTAGGAATACACCCATACAGAGACTATGATGGTGGTGTATAACCCTGCTTCTCAAACTCATGTGGGTCGCGATCTTGGGTCGCCAACTGAGAATCGTGCGAGACTGCTACTTTTAAAAAGACAGTAAACTTCGCCCAAGTTGACTGCATGTGCATATTTCTAAAATTTGCCATTGTTTTATTGTTTTACATTAAAATTAAATGGAAGATTCCGCACACAATCGACGATAACGAAATGCCTCTTGGTTTTAGAATCCATGATAAAAATCGAAACGATTTATCAGGCTACATTGTGTTCGGACTTTAGCCGAGATTAAATGTACAACTACAACATCATATCTGTATTTGGTGGAGGCAAGTGCAATGCTATCAACCTAGCATGGATTCTAAAAACAAAAACAAAAACAAAAACAAAAAAAAACAAAAAAAAAAACAAGGCAATAGGCCTAAATATGTCAGAAAACAGTAGCATAATGATTTTACTGAGCTCGAGGTACCGTAATAAGCCTATTATCATATCCAGAAAGTATATAGCCGTGTTGCCTTGGGTCGCCAAATACATTAATAGGGTCTCCGAGTGGGTCGCCAACCTAAAAAGGTCGAGAAGCAGGGTTGTATACTGTATAACCATGGGAGTTCTAAATAACAACTCCCTGGTAAAAAAATAAAATTATATAACGTCTGTAATTTTTCAATCGAAAACGGACTCAACTTTATAAATAGGAGATAAATATAAATACTATATAAATAAATTGTTTTGATAATATGCATGGCACGCTCGCTACAAGCGTATGCGACTTTTTTTTCACTTGGCGTACTCTTTTTGTGCACTGCGGGCCCTCTTCCTTATTCAAATAATGTTTAGGCCTACAGTATTTCAACGTTTCTTGCCTTTTATGATCCTTTCGACTTTCTTTTTAAATCTTTACATCTTGATTTTATTGTTTATTGTTTGATTTGATTTAAAAAAAATAAATGTTTATTTTATCGATTGATTGATTGATTGACTACGGTATATATCAACTTGAGGCCTAATTGTCCCATACAGAAATTTATTGAAATATATAAAAGGGAAAATATTCATCTGGTTATTATTTCTAAGTTTAATTGTGGAAGTAGGGCGCGTCTATCCTTAATCATGAGGAAGTTGAATTAAAAGTGGTTTTCAGCCGAAAATTGCTATAGGCCTAACTAATATTTTTGACATAAATACCTTTTACTACGAAAATATATAAACTTGATTACTAATCAATTTAACGATCAGTCAATCCGATCCGATAAAAAAAATTAAGCAATTGTTTATAATAATACAGGGGCGGATTTAGGGAGGGGGGGCGGCCCGGCCCCGGCCCCCCCTTTTGGGAGGTAAAAAAAGAAAANNAAAAAAAAAAAAAAAAAAAAAAAAAAGAGAGAAAAAGAAAAAATGATAGCCCAGAATGCCTCAAATGTTATGTTCGGGCGTCTAGAACACAGAAATTTCGCGGGGAATGCCCCGGACCCCCTACGACAGTGTTGTCTCAATTGGCCCAACTTTCGGCTCCCCCTTCCGGCTCCCCCTTCCAGCCCCCACTTTTGGACATTTTTGGATCCGCCCCTGAATAAATTAGACAATCAAAGAGGATAACAAAAGACATTTTAACTGAGCAATAAATGAGGTTCGACCGAGATTTGAACTCGGATCGCGAGATTCAGAGTCTCGAGTGCTAACCGTTACACCATGGAACCATGTCAAGAACACAATCAAGATATGTGTAAACTTATATTTATCGCATATTAATACATAAAAAATGAGGTAGACCGTTTTTCAATGATTTACAGGCGTCGTGCTTTTGTTTGAAATACTGTATTCAAATAAACGTACCTTTTGAATAAACAGCCCCACTAGTCCCCCATTAAAAATAAATGCCTTCCTCGAATAAAGGGCATGTTCTACTCCAGTAAAATTAAATTTTTTATTTAACCTGGTTGGGATCAATCATCATGCAATAACGCATTATTTTGATGGTAATTATGTGTTGTAGTTTCACATTAACAGTGAAATTATGGGGGGGGGGGGGTTTAATTGAGTAATATACTGTACGTATCCATTTCAGAGGTGGCGCCAGGATTTACCCGACCGAGGTCCCCCATGGGTTGGGCCGATGCCCCGATGAGGGGTCAGGTTTCCCCGACGAAAACAAAGTGGGCATGTTCGAGCTTCGATTAAAAGGTTTCGAAAGTGGTCCTGGGGGTTCGCCTCCGAAAATTTTGACAATTTAGGGGTTTCAAAGGCTTATTTAATCGATTTTAGTGTCTAATAATATGTAGAAAATACATATAATTTTAATACCCTTCTCAACCATAAACACCAGGGCGTTTATTCGGATAGATAAAATGAATACAGTGATTATTGTTAGTGTGTATGGTACAACCAATGGAAAAAATTAATTAGTATCTATATTGTATATTACTTCAAATTTTAGGAGAAGTTGTTGGGTTTGTTTTGCTACTGATGAAGACGATTTAACAGCTAAGTGGACTAGACCATGTCGGTGTAGAGGAACCACTAAGTGGGTGCATCAAGGCTGTCTCCAGCGATGGATAGATGAGAAACAAAAAGGCAACAGCACAGCAAAAGTCTCTTGTCCACAGTGTAATACAGAATATATTATTGTGTATCCAGGAATAGGTAAATACTTTTCCAATTTTTGTTTTATAATTACAGTAACATTTCCATCTGAACAGAGTTCATAATTGAGAAAATTTGTAATTCAAAGAGTACAAATTTCCATAGAGTACCACAGTCGTGTCGTCACAACGCCAGTTGGCACCCTCTGTTGCCAACCAGACGTTGGTTACTGTTCATTATGCCTGAATGACTTCATAGGCATTCTGGAATAGGCATTTTAAAATCTAATATTTTACCATCAAAATGTACTAAAAACACATAAGCTCGCGTTATATTAGTTATCGAACACACATTTAATCAATTAAAATTTACAAAGAAAAACTAAGATGCAACATCTTAATAATTACGTTACAAATTGGGATCAATGATTTGTCAGTGGAGAAAATGGTGTCTGGTTGAACGCATTTTGCAAAGATAGCAACGGAGTAGTATCACGTCTGGTATCGTGACGTAACACTTAGTACTCTATAGCATTACTGGGATGTATGAAGTGATTTCTGGATGAAAACTTGACTATTATTAATAGGAAAAATGAGTGTTATTCATGACGATCGCAAATTAGTTTACCACACTTACTTTAGCCATTGAAATAGCGCCCCCAATAAACAAAAAGTGAGAATCTATTTCTACTGTACAGTAGCTGCCTAAACAAACTTGCACAGCTCTATAATGAAATAAAACGATTGATATTTCTTGCTTTAAAGGAAAGTTTGTGTCAGTTTATTGGTTTAAACGTTTTTTTTCTGATGTAACATTTTATATTATAAGATTTTTAAATACAATATTGATTGTGATTTTTTTTTGTTTTTTAAATATTTTAATGTACCTATGATTTCATTTGATTTTGATAGAGTGTCTAAACAAAAAAAAAATAGTAAACCACTACTCTGTAGTCACTGCATATCCAGGTGGTACAAAGGTGAACTAGTGGGGCTCAATTAAATGAGGGGAGCTTGCATAATAGGGTGATATGAGGTCATTTTAACTACTGTAAAACCAGGAAATTTTACGCGCATTAAAGTTTCGCGAATTTCGCAAATGGCCAAGATTTGCGAAAAGGTTATGCCGCGAATAATTTTCAGGTCACATGTTCTATGTTTAAAAAAAGATCGGTAGAATACCATCTGATCATCGTGAATCTCGAATCAGTTTCACAAAGGAGATTTTGGTCATTATAAATCACTAAATTACACCAAAAATTAATTTCAACTTTGTTAAAGATGATAATGAACAATAAACAGCAAGAATTGTCGGTATTTCAAGGCCTAAACTCGCCCACGATGATGCAATACAGATCTAGGGCCTAGGCCTAAATGGGGAATCCCCACAAAATGCAACATGTTTGTGAAAAGTTAACAACTTCAACATTTTAAAAATTGTATTTTAAATTATTTTGTGGATTTTATTAAAGGTGTATAAACTTAATAGAATGTATTTCAATTATTGAATAAATATTCTGACCTTAAATTCCGATTTTGAGCTAAAAAAATTCTAATCTACAACTCAGTAAATATACTGATTAGGGAGGTTCTGATCATCACTGCATGTGATTGAACTTGTGCAACCACTGCGCAGTGTATACTAAGAAGTTAAAATAGAAACTAACTTTCGTACCTTGACATACCACAATGTTCAGTCATCATCAATCAATGTGTTTGAATCAATATTTGGCCTACAGGAATAAATATTGTTCATTGTAGGATGCTTGAATACCATACAAAATTTAGGAATATCGTATGAGTGAGTATTCTGTATTGTAATGTATGTAAACTTGTGTCTTTCTTAACTGTGCCTCTGATGGCCAGCTGAGTCCTGGTCCTAGCAGCTTAGGTAAGCTGCAGGCTTATGGCGCCTAGCCTAGGCCTAGCTATTGTAGCCTAGACAGTGGCTGTAGTCCTATCTAACCTAGGCCTAGAACTCACAATACGATATTTTTAGCTATTGTATGGTATTCCTCTCATGAATAAAATTTAGGCCTTTTGCGATTCACGAAAGTTTAATGTCGCAAAAATGGCCGAAATTATCAAATCGCTAAAGTTTCTGGTTTTACAGTACTTGAGCATAATTTGTTTGCTTCGAATAAATGGGGTGGGGGACTGGGGGAACAAGCTTTTTCTGGGGAACGTGTGCATCCCTAGATACCTGTATGCCACAGCCACTATTAAAGACAAATAATAAGATTACATTTTTTGTTGTAAATATAATAATTTTGACACTTAAACTAGGACTATGAAACTGAGAAAAATGTTAATATTTGTTTATGTTTGTTTCTTCACAGGTTCCTTTGTTAGTTTCTTAGATATAGTTGATAAACTTATTTACAAAGTTTGCCCATTTGCTGCAGCTGGTGTTGTAGTGGGCTCGGTGTACTGGTCTGCTGTAACTTATGGCGCTGTTACAATAATGCAGGTTTTAGGGCACAAGGAAGGCCTTGACGTAATGGAGCGTGCAGATCCGTTATTTCTCCTCATTGGACTCCCGACAATTCCTGTCATGCTGATACTCAGTAAAATGCTCCGATGGGAAGATTATGTGTTGAAAATTTGGCGCAAGTACTCGCCGAAGCTCCCCATCTGGAAATACTTTGGCGGTGGATGGAATCAAGCCTGTGACCTGTTGCCAAGAATACCGGCTGATACTCAACCAATGTCCGACCCGTTATCAGCTACGAGAGTGTTGTGTGGCGCTCTCATTTTCCCCACAGTATCAACAATCACTGGAAAATTACTATTTGGCACGTTAAATTCAAACTTACAAAGAACTATTTTGGTGAGTATTGTTTTGTGTACATGCAGTATTATCAAATAGGTTGCCTTCAATCAACCACGATCTGTCAGTGATTATTGGCTATCATTCAGGGGTCACAGGGGCAGATGTATAAGGGCGGGGGGAGGCGGGCTGGCTGCGGGCACTTCCCCCCTTCTGGAAAGTTAAAAAAAATGAAGAAAGAAAAAGAAATATTTAATTGCCCAAAATGCATCAGAGGTTATTTTCGAGCTTATGAATAACATCCTAGGGTGATGTTTTCTCGGTAAGCCCCACTTTTGGGGGCCCCCTTTCGGACATCTCTGGATCCGCCCTGGGTCCCAAGTTGGAGGAAGTCACTTTCGGGATATCTGTTTAAATGAGCTTTTTTAAATGCGTCTAATTTTATATTGCTGCGCATGGTGATATCCATCGGCACTGGCTTCAGTGAGACAATATAAAGTAGTGAAAACATGCAAATATTATGAATATGTGGAAGATGGGCTATTTTCCCCGTGATTCTTGCGGGAGGCCATCATAATTTCCGGGAGATTCCTGCGACTTGCGCGAGACCTGGGAACCCTGAATAATCCACGTAATAAGGCTCTTTGCTTCATCGATTGAGTACTTCCAATCCAGAAATTCATTAAAAATATGAAATTGCCCATTTATAAATGATCAAATAAGTTATCAACTTCTAATGAAACACAGATAAAACAAGATAATCAAACCCTTGCCCTGTTGTGCCATATCTATACTGAAAAATAATTGGCATCTAATTGCACTCCGGTTGGACCATTCATCATAGGCCTCGCGTGGCCAGCCCATCAATCAGACGAGTTTGTACGCCTGCTGGACTGCTTCCAGTCCGCTGGCCAAAATTTGACTCACCCCCACTTTGGCCCGCTCTTGATCGGCTCGAGTCTGCTCGACCTAGCCAAAAAAAGCCAAACGATCCGCTTGAATTGGCTCAGTCAGGTCTAGTGGCCAGAAAATATGCAAATAACATTCTAAAATCTGCATCTCACTTCTGAGGAGGACCGAGATACATAAGTAAATCGATCCAGTGGTTTTTGAGTTATGCACCCAGAAGGACACACACACTACACACAGACAGACAGACAGACCCACAGACGTACTGTACGCTACTGCAATACCCTTCACCTCCACTTCGGAGAGAAGAGGGTAAAAAGTTTAGTCTTTACTGATTAGCAGTTCTTTCTATACTGATTACCACCAATTTGGTTCACAAATGGAGTGCTGGGTTTCAATCAGAAGTTTTTCATCTAAACATTTGCAACATTTTTAACAGTTAACAAAAATAACTAAAGATGTAGTCTATTAATAATTTATTTTACTTTTATTACTTGCATCAATAGGGTGGCATTGCATTTGTGACTATTAAAGGAGCTCTGAAGCTTTTCTTCAAACAACAGCAATATTTAAGGCAAGCTCATCGAGAGATAAAAGATTACGATGGTGAAGAGAGCTCATCCGCAACAAAAGCACCAGAAGTGTCAGTAGTAGAAGAGTAGAGTGCCTAACTGCAAGCTCATCTTATCTCCAATTCATGCGAGACAAAAGTGTTACACATATGTGGTTGCGAGTTCAGCATCGTCTTCACACGAGCAATTTCAAACCTTGCTAGAAATTGGTACAATTAAGTAAAGGCCTTGTAATTGTTTACAATATAACTACGCCTAGGGTCTAGTCCTCTTTCTGGGCTATGATTATATTCATAATTTATCCAAAAGAAAGATATATTTGAATTTCACTAATAATATTTTACTATAGTAGCTATGTTTAACAAATAAGTTTTTTTAATATATAAGTAGCTTAGCAGACATTAGGAAGCTTTCGATTGAGAATGAAGAACGAGAATGTAGAATGAATTCATTTATCCGTGTGCATTCTATTTTCTACTGTAAATCAATACTGATTTTTGATGACCGATACGTGGAGCAGTGTACTTAATACAGTACAGTCCTCGAAAACCGTTGCAAACTTCGGGAGAGAATGTAACGCCCAACATTAGGACATGCGCAAATAAATTAACATGACGGTACGTTTTACGTCCTACATCATCGAATGCTCCCTATTATAATAATAATAATAATAATATTTATTGACATTACACTTTTACATCAGTGGCAGCACACAAGAAAGTGGCGCAGTCAAGCTTAAACTAATGAACAAAGAACAACAACTTAAAGCTAAACAAATGAAAGAACTTATGAACAAAGAGTAAAACAACAACTTAAAGCTAAACAAATGAATTGATGATACCACAGAGAAAGGTAAATTCCTTGTAGTGTTGTAGACCTCGGCGATGTCAGTTTTCTTACATAGATATTCCACAAATTTGCCTTCAAATAAATAAATACGATAAGACAGAGATGTATGTGTTATGTGTAACATTTTGCCTTGCTTGAATTGGGTATTAAAGGAACATTCCTACTAAATTGCATCATTGCTGTGTATAATTTTCATTATTGAATAGCAAGTCCAAGAAGGTTTCATTTTCAACAAGTGAGTGCAAATTGTGGCATGGACACACGCAAATGCTCCTTTAAATTTAATCTTATACACAAATGTAATTTTATTTATAATACTTTGTTGTAAGAAATTATCGTTACTATACATAATCTAAAGTATAATTGTAGACCACAATTAGGAAGATTTCAGTAAAAGCTCTATTAGATTTTTGAAATTTGTGGTTGATTTCGTTTCTTAATAATTTGAATATGTGTAAGAAAAGTATTGCTAATTATTTTAGTGTAATGTAACTAACAACACAGTGTGTTGATAATATAAATATTGAATTGTATTATGATGATGTACATATTGATAAAATGCATAATTCATTAATATTTACATGCATATTCATTGTTTTCATAGATTTGTGTGGTATTTTCAGCAACTTACTGTAGTCCATTTAATATTGATTGTTGTTATTGTTGATTCTTTTAGTTAGAAGTATTTAGCATCTTTAATGTATATCTTGTTTACCCTCTGTACATCAAATGACCGACAACGGTGAGATTTACCATTTGTGGCGCCATAAAACACTCTTGAAATTAGTTATTTGACAGCAATAACAGTTGTAGGCAATCAAAAGCGACATAAACACTTAGGGCAACTACGGTAGTACTTGCACCTAGTCACTTGCAGTTTTGCGTTATTGCGCGATAGTGGGTGAATTTTACAATAGCATTACAGGCAACTAGTTGAGTTGAGTGGCATAATCTTAGCGTTAGGGAACTTAATTTCAATGTATTAAAATCCAAGGTGAGAAGGTTTTGAATGTCATATGAATTAAGTAAACACTAAATGATTTGTTAAGCTGTCCACACTATCAAAAAGCTGTTGTATGCCCATATATACTCATGATGTGTCTGTGTAAGGTGATGATGTGATGTCATCATGACCATATATGGACATGTCACATGTTTTTGTCTTATAACATTTCATAGTCTAGACAGGGCTTTAGATTTTGCCATAAAAATTCTGTATATATTTTATAAACGCCAAAATTAATTTAGTTTTTTTAATTTGGAGTTGGATCACTCTGCTCCTCAGATCACTCTGGATAACCCTTTGCATGAGGGAAAGGGACAATGTATCTGTATGTCGGTACAGGCACTGCACTGCGGTTGTCATGGATCCCCAGGTGGCCCAGCCAAAATGTCAAATTTCAAATATTTGGAATTGGACATAAAAAGAAAAATTTAATCTTTTTTTAAATTTTAATAAGCAAGTAAATAAATCTTATTATGGTATGTAAAACCTCATGTTGTTTTTTTTCCCTCCAACTATTATAATATAGTATACTATCAGAGTTTGACCTTTCATTGGCCTCTGCCTAATATATACATGCATAGACCTATGTACATACAGTATACAAAAACTACAGAAATGGTGTTTTTTTTGTTTTTGTTTTTGTTTTTTTTTTTACAACCATAATATTCTTGAAAGGTATACTGTAACTAGTATGATTTCGAGGGATGATTTGCTGTTTAATGGATTTTTGTCATTTTTAAAATTCCATCTGTGCAACTTTTTTGTGTGGTTTATGTTTTATTTCACTGTCAACTTTTTGGCCAATCCTTTCACAGTAAAGTTTTTCTTATATTTGCTTTCATTTATGATCGTGTTCTGATTTATAATATTTTATCAAAATAACTGATAAGATATATTACACAAGAAAATCTTCTTAGACCATGTACCCTATTTTCGGCCGAGCACCACCTGTCTAACATACCACACTTATATTTTGATCGTTAATGTTATTAATGACATTTTAAAATTTCTGTCTAAGTACCTTCAGTATTATAAACCGATCTATTTACAGTGATTATCATTTTGAATGGTTAATTCAATAATCGATCGATTGATTGATTGATTGATTGAATAATGACAGTTGACTGGACGTTTGCTGTCGAGGGCCGCCAATAGGAAAAACTGTAACAGAGACAAGGAATTGGTGTGGGCCCCCAGCTACACGCGTGAAGCGCGGGAAAATTTGCGTAGAAGGCACAAAAAAATTATTTTGAGGGGGCCCTGTCATAAATCTGGAGGGGCCCATTATTAGAGGACCCATGCCATTATTGAGGGCCCATGATAGTAATTATTATTTTTGAAAAAAATATGAACAAAAAAATGCTACCTACAATTTCTATTGGGCCCCTGGTAAGCTTGGGCCCCGGGGACCCCCTTCCCCTCTTGGTGCAGTGGCATATCTAGTATCTAGGGGTGCACCCCTCCAAAAATTACTCGCACCCCCTCCCAAAAAGTCATGGTCCAAGTAGTAAAAAATCACATAAAATCACCTTATTTTGCGAATTAGTGCCCCTCAACTTATCATCGAGGCCCCTTCCCCCACTTCACCTTCGTGGCCCCCCCCCCCAAATCAGCAACCCCATTTCCAGACTTCTACACGCCAGTGTCTCTGTGGCCCTGTTTGTTGTGTAATGGTTAGCGCTCAATACTCTAAATTGATTTTCGCCTTTTTTGATTAATTGGTTAATTATGAATGGCATGTTCCGGTTCCATGGTGTAATGGTTAGCACTCGAGACTCTGAATCTCGCGATCCGAGTTCAAATCTCGGTGGAACCTTCTTTATTTTAGAATGTTTAATTTAACGTAAATGTAAGTTCAAAAATAAAATAAAAGCTAAACTTTCATTCAATAAAGTTTCTACAAATGTCTCGTTTATTTAACGGAGGGTAATGGTGACGCTTGAATTTTGCCAGCTTAATTTAACGTGTAAATTCAAAAAATAATATAAAATTGCTAACTTTCATTCAGTAAAGTTTCTTCTACTGAAGATTAGAACGGACGAATAAATGGTGCCACTTGAATTTGACAGCAATTATTTTTTTTTGTAGGAAAACGTCTGTAAATTATTGGAAACCGATGTTTGTTCTGTGGAATAATGAAACTTGTTTTAGTTCCTTCAAATGATCAATCAATCGAAAGATATATTTTGATATTCGTTTTCATCGAATGTCATTTGAGTAAACGTTCTGTACTTCGTGAGCCGTCAATGGTTCCATGGTGTAACGGTTAGCACTCGAGACTCTGAATCTCGCGATCCGAGTTCAAATCTCGGTGGAACCTCTTTATTTTGCTCAGGTTAAAGTTCGAAATGTTTGTTGATACCTTTTTTTGATATTAATGGATTATTGGATTGATTAAATAATAGAAGTGTGTAAGACTTTGCCCGATGCCCCAGACGCGAGCTTAAGTGGGCGTGGTCGGGCGTCGCTGAAAACATCTGAATCTCACGATCTGAATTTAAATCTCGATGGAACCTAATGTTTTTTTTGTTCCTATGCTTTCAAGCAAAGGAACATTCTATAGGATACCCTTCGTGTGTATGTATGTATGTGTGTATGTATGTATGTATGTATGTGACGTACAGTATGTTACGCTGTTTTTTGTAAACAGGCAAACGTGACTTTCCAGATATCTTTTCGTTATGAACGTCCGTACCCAAGCAAAACTGAATATGACGTTGTGCCGGCCTATTTAATAATTTTCTATTTTGACAAATATTAAAGCCATAACTAATGAAAGACAATACCCCCTACTCTTGAGAAGACTAGTAAACTGTATGATAAGAGGAAAAAAATTATGGAATGTTGATTACTTCGTTGTCCAAACTGTCTTAAATGTGATGGATTAAACTCTAGGTATTATGGACAGAAAACTCTGGGTATTATGGACAGAAAACTTTATCTACACTCCAAAAACTTCAATTTTTATACTGTGGTTTGGATAAGGGTTCTACAGACACAGCATAGAATTGTGTTGGGGTTTGATAAAAACAAACTTGATACTTGACAGTATAATCCTTATGCAGCTTCTATCGGAAGATAGACTACATGTGTACAGTGTACGGTATAGTGAAACCATTGTTGGCTCTGACCCATAGTAATGTAGGACCCCAACGGACAGGTCAAGCCCCACCCCCGCAACACCAAACAGAACTCGTCGGGCAGTTGGACTAAAACAATAAGAATGGCCCATGCCAAGTCGACACATGTCTGTCACAGTCTGAGTGTCATTTCTGGCCATCCAGAGGTTCCTATTCTTTAAAAAATCTCATTTGGAAGGTGAACACCCTCTTAAAATCTTCCACAAGCTCCGGCCTACGAGCTCTAATCCCCCTGTCGGACAGCTCGGCCCCCAGAAAATATCCTACAGCCGCCACAACTACTACACCTTTTTATCATTGGCACTACAAGCAGAACAAAAAAAACCTGATACCAGGATTAATAATAAAATAATAATAATAATAATAATAATAATAATAATAATAATAATAATAATAATAATAATAATAATAATAATAATAATAATTATTATTATTATTATTATTATTATTATTATTATTTGGCTTAAATAGCGCATTATACTAAGCCTCGATCGATGCGCCTAACAATAAAAATGAAACTGCCAGATTAACACATTGATGTCTCCCTGGTTTCGTTTGTTGCTATGTTTACATCATCGCAAACACAGAGGTCTGGTTGTTACTTTAAGTTTAGAATATTTGTTATCCAAATGGTAGACTGATTGGTTAATAATGTTTTTAATTTATTGATTGAGTAATGGCAGGTGACTGGACATCTTCAGACCATGCGCATATAGACTGGTTCCATGGTGTAATTATAGCACTCCAGACTCGGAATCTTGCGATCCAAGTTCAAATCTCCGGTGGAACCGTATGTGTGAGTTAGGAATACTTTTTGTTATCTTCTTGTGGATTGATTGATTGATTCAATAATCGATCTATTGATTAATGGCAAGAGGTACGTGGACGTCTACACTGTCGGACACGTGAAAATCTCGGGGGAACCTCATTTTTTACATATGGTTAAGTTCGGAATATTGTTATCTTCTTGATTACTTAAATGAATACAGGTCTTCCTCTAACAGACTCCTCCAATTAAAGACCACGTTTATGTGGTCCCATATTAACAAATAGTATAGGCCCCCATCTTCATTATTCTAATTAGATAGAGACCAAAGCTGCCAAAGACCACAGAAACAACGGTCCCAAACGTGGTCTTTAATTGGAGGGAGACCTGTAGTAGTCGATAAATTAGTTGATTGAAAATTAAATATTGATTGATTGATTGATTGATTGATTGATTGATTGATTGATTGATTGATTGATTGAATAATGGCAGGTCACCGGACGTCTACTGTTGTTCTGATTCTCACCATGCAAGAGGTTCCATGGCGTAACGGTTAGCAATCGATCAAGACCTCTGAATCTCGATCCGAGTTCAAATATCAGAATAGGCCTATTGTTTGTCACCTTTTTTTATTGATTAATTCAATAATCGATTAATTGTTTGACAGCAATTGATTGATTAATTGAATAATTGCAGGTTACTGGACGTATGCAATTAATCTGACCCTGCACGTATATACGGTTCCATGGTGTAATGGTTAGCACTCGAGACTCTGAATCTCGCGATCCGAGTTCAAATCTCGGTGGAGCCTCATCTTTTTAGGCAAAATTAAAAAAAAAAAAAAAATTGCTAACTTTCATTCAATAAAGTTTCTTCTAATTTCTAGTTTCTTCTACTGAAGATTAGCACGGACGAATAAATTGTTACACTTGAATTATGCCAGCAATTATTTTTTTGTAGGTAAACGTCTGCAAATTATTTGAAATCTGATGTTTGTTCTGTGAAATAATGAAACTTGTTTTAGTTCCTCCAAATGATCAATTAATCGAAAGATATATTTTGATATTCGTTTTCACTGAATGCTATTTTAATAAACGTTCAGTTCATTGAATAATTGCAGGTTACTGGACGTATGCAATTAATCTGACCCTGCACATATATACGGTTCCATGGTGTAATGGTTAGCACTCGAGACTCTGAATCTCGCGATCCGAGTTCAAATCTCGGTGGAGCCTCATCTTTTTAGGCAAAATTAATATATTTGGATATTCGTTTTCACTGAATGCTATTTTAATAAACGTTCAGTTCATTGAATAATTGCAGGTTACTGGACGTATGCAATTAATCTGACCCTGCACATATGTACGGTTCCATGGTGTAATGGTTAGCACTCGAGACTCTGAATCTCGCGATCCGAGTTCAAATCTCGGTGGAGCCTCATCTTTTTAGGCAAAATAAAAAAAAAAAAAAAATTGCTAACTTTCATTCAATAAAGTTTCTTCTAATTTCTAGTTTCTTCTACTGAAGATTAGCACGGACGAATAAATTGTTACACTTGAATTATGCCAGCAATTATTTTTTGTAGGTAAACGTCTGCAAATTATTTGAAATCTGATGTTTGTTCTGTGAAATAATGAAACTTGTTTTAGTTCCTCCAAATGATCAATTAATCGAAAGATATATTTGGATATTCGTTTTCACTGAATGCTATTTTAATAAACGTTCAGTACTTCATAAAGTCGCAAACTGTCCCATATAACGGTTAGCACTCGAGACTCTGAATCTCGCAATCCGAGTTCAAATCTCGGTGGACATTTTGCTCAGGTTAAAGTTAAAAAATATTTGTTGATAACTTTTTGGTATTAATGGATTGAATAAATGGATTGATTAAATAACAGGAGTGTGAGGCTCTGTCTGATGCCCCAGACGAGAGCTTACGTGGGCGTGGTCGGGCGTCGCTGAAAATCCCTGCATCTCCCGATCCGAGTTTAAATCTCGAGGGAACCCTATCTATTTTGTCATTTTAAGTTTACAATATTTATTATCCAAAAGATAGACTGATTGATTAATCTTTTTTTTTTATTTATTGATTGAGTATTATGGCAGGTGACGGACGTCTGTTCCGACCATGCGCATATATACCGTTTCCATGGTGTAATTATAGCACTCTCGAGACTCTGAATCTCGCGATCCGAGTTGAAATCTCTGGTGGAACCTTATGTTCAAGTTTGGAATGATTTTTATCTTCGTTGATTGATTGAATGATTTAATATAATCGAGCGATAGTTTAATAGCAAGAGAGTGGACGTCTACTTGTTCGGACCAGCACGTGAAAATCTCGATGGAACCTCGTTTTTACATAGTTAAGACTAAGTTCGGAAAATTGTTATCTTTGATTGATTACTTAAACAAATACAGGTCTTCCTCTAATTAAAGACTCCACCAATTAATAAATACCACTTTTATATATATATATATATATACATATATATATACATATATATTTCCAACGCCCGACCACGCCCACTTAAGCTCTCGTCTGGGGCATCAGACAGAGCCTCACACTCCTGTTATTTAATCAATCCATTAATCCAATCAAAAAAAGGTATCAACAAATATTTTTTAACT